ACGCAACACATGTTTGCAGTTACTGGGTTGATAAAAAAAGGATAAAAATCCAAACAAAATATCTACACACAAAAAATCGGCTGGTTGCATATGTCAACTTAGCGATAACCGAGGCTGGCACTCTGCCTGCTGCTCTTTTTGTCAACATTTTTTGTTTTCCGCTTTTGTTCGAAATTGTGCAATTATTTACCCAGATCCGTCGTATGTATGCCTGTCATTGCCCAAGGATGTGATTATCCTTTTCAAGATTGAAAGGGAACGGTAGACAAACATACCACAATTTTTGTATTTGTTTTTCTTTTAAATAATTCATTTATTTTTTAGAACAAATATTACTGTTTATATTTTGGATTTAGATATGTAAATCCTTAGGAAGTTTTTGCAGTGATTGGAATTTATGACAATATAATTCTCAATTTTACAATTACTCAATTAAGAAAATATATACGCAAAACATATACTATCTTATAAAGAGTGCTGTTATGTAGCAAGGGCCATAACAAAAAAAGGAGCAAGAAGTGCTACGGTCTATACTTCACTAATTAAGATATTGATGATTAGAGTATATGCAATTTACTTGTTGAAATTTTGCTTATAAAATTGCACAAGAGTTACACCTGCCCTAAAAAAATAAATTCAAAATTGGATTTATATAGAATAGCAGAACCAATATGTGTTCTCTAAAATGTTTCCTAAATAAGTTTGTTGGAAGTAAATAGTTTATGAATTAAAAATTAGCCATAGTTTTTGAAAATTTTTCGGCATATGTAATAATATGAACTTAGTTTATTGTTGCGAAAGCTTAAAAATCATGATATAGGAATGAAATAAACAGGATACCAGCTTCCAACGCTGCAGAGCACTGCGACCATAGTTGATCTTTTGTGCTATTATAGAAAATCATAATATAGAAATCATAATATGGTATAGAAAATTACTATGCTAATTATTATTTTATATCTAAAATAGATACATACATGAACATGCAGTAAACTATTTTCTTTGAAAAGTGTTTTTGATTTGACCTACATCTACAACAATAATAATTTGGAAGAACCATTCGTCAAAGTAGTTCAAAGTAACTCTGTTTTAGTTCACACGACATGTCTATGTAATAAGAACCGAGTATGGTGATAAGCTAGCGAGAAGCAGTTTAGCCTGCAATATCAATCCCTATTTTTCTCAATCATAAACGCAAATTGACATATCACTTTTTGTCAACTAGCTGGTTCTAAAACAATTAATCTTTTACGCAAAACTAAAAGAAATATCAAACCAAAACGACTATAAAACTAAACAAGAAGAAAAATAGACAATTTTTATTTTGAACCTACTAAATCCGCTTTTTAAGAATGAATTGAAGGGACCTCAGCCAACAGACTTGACAGTCACTTGGTTGAGATCTCATACCAGTAATCAGGTGGAAAAGATAAAGAAAGCTAAGTAAATAAAAAATGGTTCGAATGGCTAATATATAAGAAGATACTAGTATGTATTAAATAAAGAGTAAAAGAAATCCGTATATCTAAGATATTTCAAACTTGTTAGTTGCAGTTTGTAATGCTACTGGAAAATGCTATCTATAATTTTGCTTCGAATTTAATAAAAACTAATATAATACTTTAATACTCAATTTATGATTTTTAATACACGTAAATGTTAGGTTTATTTATACTTATTTTTTAATAAAATTATTTAAATAAATTGTTAATGAAATAATTTAAATATATAATAAAAAAAATAACACATCAAAAATATTTCTATCTAAACATAATCATATATTGCAAAAAAACTAATTACTAATTAAATAAAATGTCTTGCACATTTTTAAATTAAAAATAAGACGAATTAAAAAAATTTTATAAAAAAATAAAATATTTACGTATTTAAAAAAAAAATATACTGAAATTTCTCTAACAGCTCTGACCCATCTACACCACCTTCACCGCAACCATAAATGCAACTGCCAACTTGTTTGAAATTAAGATACATCAGAACGTGTTCTTCCCGAAATAACTGTATTGAGAAGAATTTTGAGAAAAATTACCCAAATATAAAAAATTTCCCAAATAAATGTACTGTGAGATACAATGAATACTCAATGAGTACTTTTACTTGAGTAAAAGAGTAAAAACTCAATAAATGCATTTTGTACTATTACTTTTTAGATTAAAAATTTATTCAAAATATTGTTTGGTTTTGCACTTTGCATTTCATTTATTATTCACTCAATAAAAAAAGTAATAGAATTTTTAATATAAATTTTACATTTCACTCAATTGTTGAGTGACATCTTTAACAATTTGAGTTCATGCATTTGATATGCAGTGAGTGTGTTTGCCTTGAAATAATTACATATTTGCGGTGCTATTTGATTTGTGCTTATATGCCAAACGACTTCATGTTTGCCAACATATGTTTTATGATAATAAACGATTTATTTTTTAATTTTAATATTAAATATAATTATTTACATAATTGCGTATGTAATACAATATTTTGCATTAAAAAAATTGTTATTAATGTATGGATAATGGAAATATTTTGCATTTTAAGTTTATGAAACTAAGTTCAAATAAGAATTACGTTGTATTTGGAACTTTAATTTATTTATTGAAATTGTTTTTATTAATTTTTTTTGAAAAATTATTTACGAATAATTAAATAAAAGAAATAGTTTTAAGACCACTGGTATTTGGCTATTATCAAAACAGCTATATGTTCAGCCAATAATTCAATTAATTAATAAATAATAAAATTTTATAATTAATTTAAATATTATTATAAAGTTATATCTAATTATGTGTTTAATAGGACCAATCATTAAAATACATTGTTTTTATGTAAATATGTGAACTAATTATATATAATAAGTGCAGTAAAAAAAATCTATTATTTTTGCATGAAATTGAAAGCTTTTCAACCATAGTTCCAATGATCTGATTAAGAACAAATATGTGACGTTTTCTTCGACAACTTGTTGCCTTTAAAAGGGAATTTCATAATGCTTCTATAACTGAAGTTCTTGCCCCTATTGGCAAAAAATTAAGACAATCCATTCGCTATGGACAGAAACACAGGAACAGACGTTAATCACTTGGTCCCATGTCTAGACTATAAAGTGGATGCAAAAGGAATTCATAACCAAGCTTCCGAAGGTTTTAACGAGTCATTACCGATGTGTGTAGCTTAGCGTTGTCCTGATGGAACACAATTCCTCTCCCATTGCTCAAAGCTGACCATTTCTGAGCGATTGGTTCCTTCCTAATATTTTTTTTAGTGAATGTCAGATATCTGTTAGTAAATCTAATATCAAAATTAACAATTTAAGAGGAGTAGCCAATGTTTCTCAGTACAAACCAATGTTTGTATTGAGAACACTAAGAATTTATTGTTTTAATGATCAAATGTTATTTATATAGTTAAATGATTAGTAAATTGTTTAAACAAAAATTTTAAAATGAATTTAAAAATATTTGTGTTATTTAAACAATTAATAAATTAGTCGATTAATATATGAAATATATATATATGAAAAATATATATGAAATTATAACGAAATTTTGACAGAAATCATATGTCTTCCATTGTGAAGTGGGAATCTTCGTAAATAGATACTAAAGGGATTTCGAATAAAATTTTGACAGTTTGTTATTTGAATTCTATCATTAATTTCCATTCATTATTTTTATTCAGCTGAAAATCGAGTATAAGTAAGGGATCAAGTAACGTTGAAGAAAGTATACAGTTCAACGCAAAGATTTATGCAGTACACTCAGAAAAACAATTTGGTTGTTTTAACCAGACATTAACAAAATTTCTGGTCAAAATATTTTTACTCGACGTATTATGTTGGTTGAACCATAAAGACCATCATTCTTTATTTCTTCTTTACTTTAAAGTATATTTGTGAGTGTACATAAAGAACCATTGATTCACATCTCAGGTCCTCGCTGCACTGCCAGCACAGTACAGAAAGAAAATTTATCTAAGGCTGGCTAGTTAATGTAATACTATGAAGCAGGATGATGTTATTGTGGTATGATGTATAAGAAAGTTATATACAAGCTAATTTAACAGAAATAAAAAAGTACTATGATGTAAATAATGATGATTACTTCAATAAGTGTGTGCGAATTTCATTATTTTCAAAAATATTCTAAAATATTGGCATTATATTTATTTATAGTTTCCAAATTATATCAATACTTAACATAATAATGATTTCTAAATCCTACATAACGTCGATTAGTGTGAAAATTTTTTTGTATTTTTATTTATAAAATTCCATTTTATTTAATCATTATAAAAAAGAATCATTATTATTCAACAGAATAAACATAAATAATCTTTGTATTTACTTGCCAAAGTATTACAAAACATAACTTATTTTTTCCAGTCCCCCTATTCCTTATCAACCCAAGACATCTCATGCATTATACTTTTTAGCTAAAGAATTTTTCTTGCGGAAAACAACATTTAAAAATATTAAAAACGTTCATAGTTTCTGAAAACTTTAATCTTCTTTACAAATAGAAACGACACATCCAATATGCGCAAAAAATTGCTTCCTAAGTTCATAAATAAAAGATTAAACTTGAATTAGGTCAGTAGCGTGTGGTAGTGAAATATGCAAGCTCCAAACGGCTATCCCATCACTATCCCACCAAACGACGAACCAGTTGCTGTATAGAAGTGGTGCCTCTTCCTTTAGGAGCAGATGAAAATATAAACAAAAATGCCACCTACGCGTGTGGCACAAACTCTTTTCCATTGCACTCTGACCTGTGGCATAACTTCATGCTTGTTGAGCAAACTAAAAGAGCGAGGCAAAGAGTGCAATTTCCCTTTGCCAAACTCAAATTGAGCGTATATGTTCAACCACCAAAGGTTAAGTATGAACAGTGTTAGTTGTCTGTGTATCCAGCAGATACAAGATACAAGATACAACCGTACTTGTGCCTCAGCGCAGTACGAAACTTGTTACAACATCGAGTTGTTGTGCGAACGTTGTTTGGAATTCTAAAATTCAGTTCGATTCTTACGTTCAACGTGTGCAGTTGTCGTCTTCGGAATGCGAGTTCAAAAATATTAAAATCAAACAAAATCAATTCAGAAATTCCGTCAAAATTTTGAAGACGTGAAATTATGTGAAGACATGTGTTGTGTTTAAATAAAATAAATTGGCAAAAATTTAATACAAAATTATAGTGTCCAATAATTAATCGAAATTGAAAAAAAATATTTGTGAAAAACTAAATTTAACTTAAAATTTAAAAACAACAAAATTAATATAATTTAAATATAACAAAATGTCGCACAACGTTGTTAATTATTTATTTGACATCAACACTAACACCGTCACCACCACGGCCACTACACCAGATACACCACTAGCTGAGTTTATTGCTTCTTCATCTTCCATACTCAGTTCGGAGCAACATCACAATCAAATTACCTTTGAAATCCCTTCACATCGTGACTTGGAGCACATCAACACGTTGCACAAGTTCAATTCATTGTTGCAACATATCGGCAATGTAGCCTACGATACTGTCACTGGTGGCCCAGGTATCTCATCCACTGGTGAACCACACAATCCACTTGTTCTGGATGCTGCTGGTCATGCCATCACCAATGAACAAATTTCCAAGAGCGCTGTTCTAAATTTGGCCGATTTCAATGATGCTTCCAGCAACTTTTGGGAACGTTGGCTTGAATCCACTGACATGCACTCGGTTATCAGTTATTTGTGGTTTGGTGTGGTGACTGCATTACTTATCCTATCAGTGATTTTCATCATGTTCACATATTATTTTTATCGCAAATTTCGGCTTTGGAAAAAATGCAGTAAGTATCTTTTGATTTTGTGTGCAGTTTTATTAGATAAAAATGAATAGTGCTTAAAAGAAATTTTGGGATGAAGAGGGGTGTAGCACCTCTAGCAAGCAAATAATTTTAGCCATACTATAATTGAGATATAAGATTAGTACTCTGAATTAAGCATTGTTTCCATTTTTCAAGCAAAATTCGTTCCATATCAATTTGTGGGAAACCCCTCTTTTAATAAGTTCTCAAGTGTATTTGAAGTAAGTAAATGTTATTGTTGATTCAGCAAACCCTTTTTAAATGAATAGAAGAAATATTATTCCCTTTGATGAAAGAAAGTAAAATAAAAAATAAAGCAAACTATATATATATAATATAATTTACTATATATTCTTTACTATATAGGTATATCTATATATTATATATGTAATATATAATAAAAACATGTTTTTTATATATTTTATTATATGTGTAATGTGTTTATATATGTTGATATAGATATAGATAAATATATATATATACGTATGTAGAATATTCTCTTTTTTCATATTCCTTAAGAACTGAAATCAATACTATTATGATTAGTTCTTTAAGTTACTTTTTATAAATGACATTAAAATCCATAAAAAATGCAGTGTTTTAAGTATAAATCTATTTACCTTGGCGTTTCTATTATAGTCATATAATAACTAACTTAAACCAGATTAAACGATTCGATTTGCTCTACTTTCATAAAGTTATCCATAAAAGTAGTCGTCCAAAGTATCATTAATTTTTTAGTTACAGTGAAATGTTAGTACCAGAAAATAGTAACTTTTTTTAATTAATTAGTTTTCATATTTAATTTTTAGTTGCTATTTTGTATTGGGATGCCTTCACAGTCTTGCAAATAAAAATAAATAAATAAATTTCACTTCTATATCAAAGTCTAGACAATAAATTTATAAACAAATTTCAAGAAAAAGTTATTCGCTCATATAAAATAAACAATCATTTTTAACATTTCATTATCTAATGTTATTTAATATATTAGTCATTTTTATTTCAAAGCAAAATCAATTATTATTTCATATAGTTTTTTTGTGGTATTCAAATTAATGCCTTTAATTTTGCTTTATTGTATAGAATTTCTTCTGGTTCTTCCCCTTTTTAGGCACAGTATTGAGATCATTAATTTAATTTTTAAAATTATAACTTATTTAATGAACACACAGCATTTTAAGCCAATTGATTATTTTTTTTATGTTGAGCCTTTTCCGAGTTAGTGCATCTGGGCACTTTTACCCTTTGAGAGCTGTGGAGTTTCTGCAGAGTCTCACCCTTCTCACTGACTAATTTGTGTATCTCTCAGAAGCTTCATGATTATTCCACGACTGATCTAAGATCTATGTACCGCCCCGTGCGGTTAGTTATATCTCTGTTTCTCTAACTAATAGGGGGTTCTTAATATTCTTAAGAACCTTTAGTTAAACATATATTAGATTAGTTATAGTATTCAAAACATAGTCTATTGACTGAAGTTTTTGAAAAATTTTAGAGATTGTGATGTATGAACTAAATGATAGATGGTTGAAAACCATTTATAATATGAACTTATCATGCATTTGGTTAATCTCTATAAGGTTTTGTTTTTAAGACAAACCAAATCTTGTTTTTTTAATTTTTTGAAAAGTGCCTTCTAATTGAAGAGTTAATTTGTATATGAACTGAATAACAGATTTTATTAGATTTTTATATATAATTTGAACTATAATTCCGTAATTGAGGAAAATAGACCTCAATTACGGCTAAAATTTAAGTCATAATTTGAAACTTACTTTTTTGATTTTTTAAGAAGTAGTTTTCTCATGAAAGGCTGAGGCATATGTACTAAATGAAATATTCCATTACGATTTCTTTGAAATTATCTGGACTTCTTAACACACATCCGTTTTTATCTCTTACATCGAGTATTTAAATATCCAGAGCAAAGCTCATACATATTTTTATTTAAAATATGTTTTTAATTCCAGAAGTTGTTAAATGTCATATAATTATGTTTAGGTTTGTTGCAAAGGCAATGGACCCAAAAACACAAAAATAGCTCATCTCTAAAAGACTTAATACTTTTTAAATTGGTTTACTAAGCTTGTATTCTCCAACTCGAATTTGATTTAAAAATCATATTCTTCACTTATATTGTTGTTCATTATTTTAGTTCTTGAGATTGTCATTTAGGTCATACATTCATAATATATTAAATGAATATATTATTAATATGTTATGATATATTATGAGTTTAGCACTAATATTTATTGGTATAATTATAGCTTATTATTAAAGACATATATAATTATATATTTCAAATACAATTGATCAGCGTAACCGATCTCATAGTTTGCGGTGCGCCATTATGCTCTCCAATGAGTAATTACGATAAATGTTAATACTCATATTTTTTAATACACTAATTATTATAAATAATTGATATTAGATTTATTATATATTAAATAATAGGCAATGAATATATGTATAAGATCTATTGTGCGCCTATAGGCCTAACTAAGACAATTCTAGACTATTTATAAATCTCGTAATTGTTGTGGGCTTAATATTACCTATTTGATTTGAGACTAAGATTCCGCTTCCAAGATAGTCGAGTCTATGTCTTGACGCCGCTGAGCAGTTGCATAAAATATGTTCTGATGTTTTCTTCTCCTCATGACAGAGTCGACAGGTATCACTTTCTATCGCACCTATAATCTTCAAAATTAGATAAGCAGCAATAACATTTCCTTGAATATTTGATATATGACAACTAAAGCAAAATTTGTATTATTTCTGCAACATTAATTTATGAAATGTTAATGTAAAATTTTAAATATTTGAACTTTTTTCTTTCATAAACAATCGTAAACTTTTAATATATTACAAAAAAGTTATGTGAGGTACGCACGATTTTGTGATATTTTCATTTTGAAATTTTTTATCACATAAAATTCTTCTGCATAAAAGCATTCGTTCTATTTTGACTTTGAGTAGGAAGTACTTAAGTACTAATTTCGAATAAAATTGCATTTTGAACATAAAATTCCTTAAAAATGAAAATGCTACAAATATTTTTCATATTAACCACTTTTCACAAAAAAAAAATGGGGAAATGCTTGCAACATCGCTCCCATGCAACGTAACCCAGCAAAACCATAAATTTTCCGCTACAAAGACACTGAGTGTCATTGAAGCTCATAAGCAACAAAGCGCTAACTTTTATGTCAGCTTTTAGCAAAAATATTGTAGTTGCGATTATGATGACAACATTTTGTGGTAGCAACAACGACACCAACAACTTCAACGACACCAACAACTTCAGCAGCAACAGTAACAACGACAATCTGTTGTTGGCGCTTTGAGTGGTTTTTCTTATCAAAACCAATTTATCCTAGCGTTGCTAAAATTTTAACAGTAGACGTTAAAAATTATGATGTACATAAATAAGAACAATGCAGATGTCAACAATGTAACATGAAACATTGCCATTTGCTAAATGATACGATATGAGCCATACCAACGCTGCTACGCTGCGGGTAAGGTAATTTGTTAGTAGAAGCCAAAAAAAAAAAAAAAATTCTTAAATAAATAAATAGAACGTGTGTAATTTTATGTAACAAAGCTAAGCATGTCAATAAATTTAAAATGATTAAAGGCATCAATACAAAATTTAATAAAGTTAAGTTGCACATGACTTACTCAACCAAACACTTGAACATGTTCAAGCACACGAAGGAACCACCCACTAAAGCCTACCTAAACACCTGCAAGGATTCATGAACTTATATTACACCTGTTGCCTAACACTCTGCCATCAATGGAAGGCACGTTCAACTCTGAACAGCACATTTGCATACGTACCGTTTCCTACAAATAAGCTGTCAAAATAAACTGTCAAAGTGTAAGCTCCTAAAAATATTAACTTCCCTAAAATTTACTTAAGCATTTTGTGCGAGATACCAAACACATTTTTCCTTAGTCCTTTTTTCCAGATCCTGTTTTTCTTTATTTTTTCGTTGCTGTGGTACGCTAACATTTTTCAGGTTGTGTTCTGCTCTTTTGGTTCACTTTCTGCTCCACTTTAGTTACTGCCTTTAAAGTAAAGTACAAAAATGATTTATTCAGTTGGTTGCTAAAGTTGCTGCTATCGTTGCTATTGCTATGCCAGCAATGTTGTTTGAGTTACCAACAAAAGTGTCAAACTGTCAAACTGTCAATATTACTAATGAGCTTTAGCAATTTCTTTACGTAGACAAGTTTTGCTTGTGCAGGTTAACTAAAAGCAATAAACTTTCAATGTATCAATTAAATTGTTTGATGAAAAAGTTTTACTTTCACTTTACCAAAGCATAGATACAGGCGCTTGACACAAATAGCTTAATTAGTTTAGTAACTGGCATTAGTTTTATAGCTGTAGTTACTCGTTGGTGTCATGTATCTTTTCTCTTAGAACTTCTCATATATACTTTATTTATTTAATTACGTACGAACGTGTGTCATTTAGCATTTCTTTGGCCTAATAATAAACTCGTAACAGTATTAGTTTTTATTTACGCCAAAAACTATGCCAAGCTTTTTGTTTAATCTCCTTAGTCTGCTGCTTGTGTGTAGCCACAATTTTGCCACTCTTAACAGAGTTTTACACAAATTCAGTTAATAAATACTTAAATAGGTTTAGTACGTCTTTGGAAACCTTAAGTATTCAACTAAGAAATTAGTAACATTTATTAAGCTGTCACAAGTAAACAAATGCTTCAACATAGAAACACATAAAATATAAGAGGTTGTGTATTGGAACACGAACACACACGTTTCTACTTGCAATCAATTAGTATATTTTGCAGCTACTTCAACTTGTATATTTAATTTATTAGCTGCCAGCTCAGGTTGCTAGGTTAAAGGAAATTCATTTAGAATTTGAAATAATGTGGCAACTTCCTTGTTATTAAATATTCAAACACTGAAACTAGTTAGGTATAGAAGATATAATATTT